CCTAAAATCTAAAGTATTTGGCGAAAATAAAAGTTCAAGAATAACATGTAAGCATCTTCTTCTTCATGCATCTTTTTCATGTCTTCTTTTAGTTTGAAACTCCAATTATCTCCCATCTTCTTTCTTAACCACTTCCTTAATTAATCTCTCTTATATATGCTTCTTTCATATTCTACAACAACTCTTTTGCACGCATCAACCAAATTTGTGTAGTCTCAATTGCACAAATCCATCGCTCACTTTCTCTGTTTAATTGTAAGTTTGCATGACAGAACACGCCACAGCTTGTGCCCAATGCCTCAGCCTCATTTTTACCTGTTGAGGATTATCTCCTGATAAAACATATAATACAACATTAAAAGTGTGAAAACATGCAAACAAACTTAAAGGAATTTGTATTTAGATTTTAGAGAGTGCGAAAACATGAAGAAACAAAAAGAAAGTTACCTGGAGACATCAATCTCAAACTATCTGAGTCGCTTATAGGACTACCAAACGAGGAGGATCGGTCTCCAAGGGAAGTAGGTCGGGAAGAGGAAGATCCACTGCTGCCTGGAGTAGAAACCGGCGATATCTGACGGTTCACCGCAAAGTAAAGATCCAATGCAGGCAATGTAGTTGTAAGTTGTTGGCCTTGCTCCTCGTTAAAACCAAACCCTAACTCAATAGATCCTTTGAGCTCACTCAAGTCCTCGTCCGTTAAGTCATCTCCTCCTTCGTTTATTTGATGGAGCATATGGCGACGCTTACGCTCCCACGCGATGTCTCTTCGTGTCTCCAACATGGAGAGTTGCTTCGAGAGACGTTTCTTGGTCTTAATCCTCGGTGGTTCCAATGGCATCTTTCGAAGCTCATCTGCTTCTTCGCTTTCGTAGATCGATGATGCTGTTGAGGTTGATACACTCAATGCTTCACCAACTCTCACCATTTTTCGTCTGTTATTAATGTTAGAAATAGAAAGCATGTTTATGATTACTTATATATTAGGAATTTATGACTTGTTGTACAAGTTAGGTCGTGCTTTGTGCCGTTTTGTACAAGCTAGCTCGTGTATGCAAGAATCAATGCAAAGAGACAAGAACTTGTGAGGAAATGATTATAATCTCTCTTAGGTTTTCTTATGGTGCTTGGCCTGTATAAAGAAATGAATGTAGGATGATGAAGAAGGAGATTGATGATGATTCAAAGGATCTCAGATCTCTCTATATACCTCGAAATCTTGGAAGCACAAAAGGGAGAAGAAGTTTTTTCTGTTTGGTTTATAAGGTTTCTGGTGAACATTAATGGTAGAATATTAGAAAACACAGGGAAAAAAAGAAGATGTTTTTGCAGTTTCTATCGCACATAATGTATTGCTTAAAAGTATGGTTTTAGAATTTTTCTTTTGCTGTTTTTATTGGGCCTCTGCTCTATTAATTGCCTGGGGAGAATCTGGAACTGTTTTATTTCTTGAGAGAATGCAAAAACAAACACATATGGTTTCTGTTGTAATAACCAATTCTTTCTTGATTTAGGATTGCACTTCATTTCAACGTCTCACATTATGTTATAGAAACTTTTTACTATTCTTCTAAACAAGAAAACCACAATACGTACATAAATTTGGTTTTCTGTTAAGTGTGTTATACTTTAGAGAGTTAACTATACTTCATTTTTTTATTTGCAAATCGTTGGATGGTTTCCTAAATATGGTGGTTTATTCATTGTGCATAATTTTTAAAGTGGGATGGATTTCGTTTCACATTTTTAAAAATACATGCGATAAAATGTACCACTTATTTACGAAAAGTAAATAACTTTGCATTTGGGTTATCTACCACCAAAAAATCAAATCCTATTTTAAAAACTAGAGTATTTTTCCGACCAAAACTAAACGCAAATAAAGGTAAAGAATATAAAACCGATTGATAGATAAATTATGCAAATCCAACACAAATGAATTCATAGTTTCAATAGCCACTAAACTACTATAATAAAAGGAGTATATGTTAGGTTTCTATGACACAAAGGCATCGATTTTCCTCTTGTATAGAAACAGAACAAACCAAGGACAAATCAACAAAAAAGTTCTCAAGTCGGCAAAACAGAAGAAACAGAGAAATGCATAGCCAAAACAGAGGAAGTTTGTGACTTTGTAACCAAGTGAAAATGAAGAGCA